TGAACCCTTAAAAGCTTTCAAAGCATCTTTGTAGGGTTGCAAGATCCAGTTCGTTTTGCTAGATTAAATAGCTTCCTGCAGGTTGGTCTCAAGGAGGAGATTTCCGGGATCCCCCATTAGAGTCTCCTTTTTCCCTTGGACGTGTTGTTGGGCTGGAAGCTTTAATTTTTGACGAATCCAGCTTACCGAGAGAAACAGACTTTGCCCCTGGAGAGCTCTGTGCGTTTGCTCGGACAGTGGTGCAAATCAAGAAATCACGCTTTAAAACGGTAAAAAGCCTACAATTATGTAAGCTGAACAGATTTAGAAAAAATTTTTGGGCCCCGATTTTTTGATTTTGTATTTGCTTATATTAAATTTTTAAGTGCAAAGTGCGGAGAAAGTAGCAATTTGGAAGAAAATCGATTCTCTTGTTCCTGGTAATAAAACGAAAAAATTAAATAAAAGAACTTGCAATATAAAAAATTTCATAATAAAAATGAAAATTAGCGCGATCTCTAAGTGGTCTCAGAGGTGTGGCATGTTAAATAAAAAAGAAAAACATCAAATAAAAAATATTTATAAATTACATTTTAGCAATTTTCTTTCAGGGTATTTTTTTTTTGCCTCCAGGAGCATCGATCCATCCTTTGCAAGGCTAAATTTTCAGCGTATGTGCCTTTGAGTTAAGCGAATGTTCCAAAATACCAAAAGACGGTTGATGCTTCTTTTTATGAAAATTGCACGAAAATCCATTTTGGCCATTTAGATTTTTTGTGACAAATAATGGGCGATATTTCACACTTTTGAGACCAAATAACTAAAAAAAACATCATCTGATCTAATGATACTACATGTTTAATATGCCTTGCTTTGGTTATAAAACTGCATACATAAAGTTGTTCTAAAAGTTAAAAAATGTGCTCCCTGGTTGGGAGCAATCAGGCCTCGCTATACAAATTTCGTTATGGCGGACTTCTGATGGGAACAAATTAATATCTTCTCCAAGATATGCTGAGAGGAAAGCGAAGAGGGTTGGTTTGACGGTCTTAATCTTAAAGATATATGTATGTATTGGAAATTGATGGCTAAGTCATCGAATAATAAATTTGCATGCAACTCAATTAGAAGAATCTTATCTTTAAACCACTTTGTTATTCAATGCAATTTTAGTTCCATTTACCTATGTATGCGTTGGAAAGTAGAGTTTAATAATTTCATTAAAACTAATGCAAACTAAATTGAATTTGTTTGCGCATCAAAGCATATTAAATATGTAAAAATAAAAATGTAGTAGATACGTATATAGTTATTTTCCTTTCTATCGCGGCGAACTTTTAACAATCAGCGACTTCCTGTTTCGGTGGATTACGCACATTTTACGCTATACTGGTTTGCATACCTTTCATTTAAATGACTGGTATGTTTACTGGTATTCAAAACAAATGTCAATGGGAAATAATGAAAGGCGCACATATGTACATATATTCAAAAGCAAGTGTTAAGGTTTTTAGGGCAGAAGCGTTTCTCTTAATTCGTACGACACAACAAATCGAGCGGGGCCGAAAAAATCTATAGCTAATTTATGGGATAGTGTAAGGAATAGATGACATAAGTAACATGTTAATTTTGATAATTTTTCAATAGACCGAACCATCTTCTTTCGAGTATTTTGTAATATTAATGTTTGGAAATATGTAGCCTTTGCAGAGAACTACTTTTTAAGATGGCGGGTAATGAGGCGACAATTCTTAGTGTACTTCATTTAGTTTCGCCATTTGCTTCTCCAAAATCGAAACCGGTGCATTTCCAACGAGGCGGCTTCTCTTAATGTCTCTATCGATCGGTTATCAATATTCGTTTTTTCCAAGCAGTCGTTATTCCATTGACGTTTCAAAAAGATAGTCGACATAACCTTTCCAGGTGATCTTTGGAGCACTCGAGCCAGCCACTACCCTTTTTTTTGGACAATTATTCGCTCTTAAAGTTTCATTAACACGATGCCAAACATCACCTGAATTAAGTCGAAAATTGCATTGAAGTGTCCATTGCTTATGGGGAGGAAATTTTTGTATTTTTTTTACAGGAGTTATCTATGTACGATCTATTTTGAGTATTCGCACTTTAGCTTCGTTAGTAAATCTATATTTAGAAACAAGTAAGAAAGTCTAAGTTCGGGCGGAGCCGAACATTAAATACCCGGCGCAAGTATTAAATATATGTTTTTTCACCTTTCCGAAACCTACCGCTAGATGGTAAGCCGGGGTGTATCAATTTTGAGTAAATTAGCGTCCTTCAATTTCGAAATATTGCAGTTTCAAGCATTTCTGAAATTTACCATTATATGAGAAGCGGCCGTAATTTTAATTCGATTTCAATAATTTTCAACGTTTTGCTTATATGTGGCAAGCACAATAACCACACCGAGTTTGGTACAAATTGGTAGAACGGTTACCGATATACATATATGTGATCATAAGTGGGCGGTGCCACGCCCATTTTCCAAAATTTTACCATAAACGTATTTCTTGGTAAAGAATTGTTGCAAGCATCAATTTTGAATAAATTAGCTTTAATATTTACTGATTTATCGAAGATTTTGTATTTCTCTAAATTACCGTTATATGGGATGTGGGCGTGGTTATTGTCCGATTTTAAAAATTTTCGGCGATTTTTTATGCTGTACCAAGGCCAACAACTGTGCCAAGTTTGGAAGAAATTGGTGCAGCGGTTACCAAGATATACACATGTAACCATAAGTGGGCGTGGCTACGCCCATTTTCCAAAAATTTATAATATTCTTATTTCTCGTCTGAAAATTATTGTAGATATGAATTTTGAGTGAATTATCTTCAGTAGTTACTAAAATATCGCAGTTTTCGTATTTCTGGAAATTACCGTTATATGGGA